TAATATTCTTTCTGCATCACAGTTGTATAGCAACTAGTTTGTGTTTGTCTTTCGCATTAAATTCCAATGAAATATATTTGTGTTTATGGTTGTGACAAGTTATGCAAAAGCTCAAGGGCTGTGGATACTTTTGCAAGCCACTGTATAAGTGACAATCTGCCAGTGGAACTAGTACTTTTTCATCAAAGTTAAGGAATATTGACTAAAAACAAGCTCCTTTATCTTACTGAAAAGTTACTTATAAGTTAAATTTGTCTTATTTCAAGTGCACTGGGAAATTTGCACTAGAAACTAGACCAAAAATACTTCAGTAAGGTTTTGTGCTTTTGCAGCTTAGAGTGAGTAAATTTATCGAAGCCCCCCTCTGTTATCATTCACAGATCAGATGAAGCAGCACATATGGTAGTCAGGTGGGCTGGAGAACATTTTTAGAGCTTGTGGTTAGACCTCTGTAAAACCTCTGACTAAATCTGAAGTGAAAACGTTGCTTCACTTAACACCCCTTAATCCCAGCCCCCACGATTCAAAACCAACAAAAATGTCAGGTATGCACCAAGCAGCAGAGAACTCGAGTGCGACACGTGGACACTCTGAAGGCGGACGGGGGTGCAGGGGACGATAAAAAAGACCCCTTCTAATGCATGCAGATGCAGATGCATCTGCATGCACATGTAGCCGTGTGATCGTGGATGCGCGTGCCTGCATTCATAGCTCCGTGACGGACCGGAGGACTCACAAGGAATGGCATTGTGAATCCTCAGACTCCGGATTTTCCCTTGTAATCAGGGATTGTCCGATGACTGCCGAGTGTCTCACACTTCCTGGATGCTGCACCAGTTGGTCAATCAGTTTCCTTTCTGGTGTTCCACTTTGTGGGGCGAGATATACAGACCACCAAGGGGTTTCTCCCGCTCCAGGGGAACCTTTTTTGTCTTTGTACTTGAAGTGGAAGGAAATAGCTCAGAGGTTTCCAGGCCTGTCTAAATCTGGGGTGTCCAAAGTGCGGCCGTTTGACTTTGGGTGTTTTCCTTAGACTCGGTTCGGTTGGAGACCAAAATTGCAACATTTGTTACATTTTCAGCTGCTGAGGTTCTCTTTCACACTACGTTGTGTCAAACAATTCAAACCCCTCCTCATCTGTGCTTGGTGCTGCACCAAGAACCACTGAGACAAAACAACATGAAAACCTCTGAAGACGACACTGAGAGCTACTTCCTTCTTCACAAAATGTAAACAAAAATGGAGTGGCGTCAGATTTTACATTTTAGAGGTTGTATTCTCTTTTGCCGTTGGTGAAAGACCACAAGCCATTTCTTCCATTAGTGCCAGAATCTCGAGTTTGTTTTGGTTGTAGTTACCCAAAATACCCTGCACTATAATACGCTTGGTGCTTTTAATTAGAGCAAATTTCTAACAAATTAAAATTTTCTACAATGGAAAATATTAAGTACAACACAAAGTACCTTCCTTTGAATAACCATGCTTTTTGCTTTCTCTTTAATTTCTCTAAAAATAGGACAATGTTTATCAGCTGACTTAGAAACAGATGTTAGAGAACCCAAATCTGTTTTTTAAAGCAAACATTTTTTAGGGACAGTGACCCAAATCCTGTTCTTATTGCTGAGAAGAGGCAGAATAGTTTTCTTTTTCATCTGAGCCTAAAATAATTTGCAAACTGAATGTCTTCTTTTAAATAATGTCAAAAACTTAAGTTTTGGATCTAGAATGATCCCTTTCCTGCAGAAAAAAAGAGATTTATTTATGTGTTTAATTGTATGCTTAGTTTACTGATGAGCAGTGAAAAAACTGCTATAATTTTTTGTAGTATATTACTATATGTGTGTATTTACACACAGGACACCTTGCTTGAAGTGAAGCACGCGGGACGGTGGTGAGTTTTCCTATCTAAGACAATACTGCCCTCTTGTGGGCTGGTTGCGGTACTTGCCTCTTTTACAACTCGCTGTGAAATCTTGCTTTGCTGAATCTGAGGAACTTAAAGATCTGACAGCATAAAACTATGGCTGGTTTGATTCTGTATCGCTGAATAATTGTATTAGATTAGACTAAAACAATCGATTAACTTGGACTAAACTGGATTTAAAATTTTATGTGGATTCTACCCTGTTATAAATATTGCCTTTTTTTAAACACGGTTTTAGACCTTTATTTTATTAGTAAAATACCTTTTGAGAAAGGCAGCAGCACACGTCATAGAGGACATGACAGAAAGCATAAGCCATGACCTAATAAGTACCAGCACGATATATATGTTGCAACATTCAACATTAATTTTGTACAATTTTCTTCACATAATTTTCATAAAAATGGAACAGAATACTAAAAAATTTTTTTGCTTTGCATTCAGTGTACCGAAAAATAATCCATGGCTTTGTGATATAGAATTTAAAATCCAGAAATGCTAGCTTAGGGCTCACACTAAGCACAAAAGGACGAAAGGAAAAAAAAAAAAAGATTTCAGAAGGGCATTTTTTTTGGTCCAGTGGAAAAAAGAGCAGGTGCATTAGCACCATCTAGTGTCTATCGGGGCACGTCTCTGAATTTATTTACTAAATATGTGACTTCTGAAAACTACAAGTCAAGTTTTTTATCCTGGTAATTTTATAATTTTAGTCTAATATTTTTATGACTTTATTTCCTTAATCCTCTGTCATAGAAGGCAGTCAATTCTATGAATTTTATTTGGGTGTATGAGAGCAACAGGGGGCTAAAACAATTTCTGCATCTTCCTTTTTCTATTGAGACTCCCTCAAAAAACACAAAAATAGAGTTTATTAACTTTCAAATACCAGATCTTAGATTGAGACCGCAGTGGCGGTGCCTCAGACTGTGAGAGCGGAAATAGAATAAATGTGTTCATAACTCAAAAGTAATGAAACACAAAAACCAAGCAAACATGAAGGATTGCATTAACAAAACCATGGATGATGTGTGGTGTTCACAGATTTCACTGCTGCTCATAAACAAAAACAGAAATCTACAACATTCAGCTTAGAAGCTTGTCTTATTTCAAGTCTACTATTTTCAGTAGAAAGAACACCAGAAATACTCGGTAAGATTTGGTCTCTTTGAAGTGTTTATTTTCTGGAGAAGAAATGCAAAAATGGCATCATGTTTTTAAGTCTTATTGGATAAATGTCTAAGATCAGTCATAGCTGATTATCTATGAGGAATGTTTCTGCCATCTGTTTATTTGCGTCCTGTTACCATGAAGACAGGTGAGAAAGGCATATTTATTGAATATGACTGTATATAGCGAGGAGATTTTGCAGAAGCACAGCAGAAAGTTGGATTCTGTATGCAGTCAACCTAGAACAGTTGTTCACATAACTAAACCAAACATGGAAAGACTTTAGCCAGTCCTTGAAGGAAAGGTTGGGGCATCATTGGAGGGATGAAGAGGGAGATCTCTGCAGGGATACTAATTTTAATATCTCATACGTTTTACTCGAGGCTCAACAAGATGGAATCAGTCCTTAGTAGAAGTTGAAAAGTTAGCAAACCAGTGGGATTTGCCAGTGGTTGAGGTGCTAACCGCTAGAAGCAACACGAATCAATAATGTGGTTCTCTCTAGTTTACATGTTTGAACAATGAAGTAAACAAGTGAAGACTGTACAGGAGTGTTTATGATGTGAATTCTAATTTTAAGGATATGTAATTTCTTTTCCTACCCTCAATATGGAAAAATATTTTACTACTACAGAACACATCATTGTGTCTGTACCAGAAAACGACTTTAATTTAAAAAAGAGAGAGAGAGTTCTTCCTAGAAGCCAGCTCGGCTTTCAAAGCCAGTACTGTACCTATTGTTTGACCGTGACTCACTGCAGAATGGAGTTAAAGCATCACTGCATGTCCACAGCGGTGAGGTTAGGACTGCTGAGGAGGTCGTTCTGGCACACAGAAACCCACGCTGCCCTCAGAATGGATTCATTGTACAGCAGGCGGACAGGGTCCCTGACCTCAGGGCAGTCTGCACACACAATGACACAGCCTCTTTTGTTACCACTGACAAAGCAAGCCCTCACATCAATCATACTGCATAGCAGCACTAAGTCTTTGAACAAGCACGCAAGCGAATCATGGCTGAGACGAGTGACATTGGTAAAATAAAGCCCATGTCTCCATGTGAACAGGGTATCTGTAGTTCAGTAAATTGAATTTAAGACCATATAAACGCTGCCTTGCATGGATTTTAAGAAAAATCTAATACAATCAAGCAAAAGAAAAACTGAAATTTCTGGGGCCTTTGTGCTTCTCTCACACTACATACCACTCTTTTACAGCCTACAGCCCAATAGTGTTAAGCTAAAGTTTAGTTGTTTTTTTGCACATAATGCACCCTCCCTTCGCATGGGTTAGTGGCGTAAACAAACGTCGGTCCGTCAACCGGTGATAAAATTTACACTTACCTGTGACAGACGCAGAAAAGCTAGCTGGTTAGCTAGTTAGCATGAATATATTAGCAGCTAGTTTGCGGTAGCTTTGACCGCCTCGAGTAACAGAACGCAATGAAGATGTCTGCATAAAATAATCCTGCCACAACAATATTTACGATATTCATTTAACCTCAGATATTGCAAAATTATGCCCTGAGCTGATGAAATTCTGTCAAAATTGGAAATTTAGCAAAATAATACATTTTTGAAGCGGTAGCTTCAAGTGTTATGTCGATGGTTGTAAATTGGTTTAAGGACGCTCAGGGTGAATGGCTAATGTAATATGGAACATGTTGAATGTAATTTAAAGTTATGACCTGCCCAGATAGAAAGTAGGTCTAAGCTAAATCTGATGCAAAGAATCTGTATTTGTAAAGATTAGTGTGTTCAGACACTGTCCCTGAGAAATAAATACAAACATTAAGGATTACTTAATTTTTTCCTAAATTTAAGACAATTTAAGTTTTTAATTTTTGACACATTGAGATGTGCAGACAACTGTCAAAACTTAAAAAAAAAGAGTCATGGGTAAAGAAAAGAGTCAGTTAACAGTTTATTGTCATGTTACAAAAACAATAGAAAATGTTCAAATTAACAGCTCAATAAGTTAAGAAAATAAATAAGTGTAAAAAACTGCTTACAAGTGGTTAAAAATTTAACTTTGTAGGTCCTTAAACAGACTTAGTGTCATAATTTGTTTACCCATAAGATTACACAAGATTATTTTAATGTTCACAGTAAATAAGGCAGATGAAACAGCAACACACAACCCTTACACCCACTTCTCACCATTTCTTTTTTGCTAAATGTTAGCCTACCCTGTGGCTAAAATGTAGCCACCATTTAATCTGCTCAGTGCTTCCACAGACAGTAAGTGCAACACAAGCCTGAACATGTAATATTAAAACACGTCTACATACGGCATGCATATGGACACGAGGTGAAGGAATGTTAAAATGGCCAGCTCTTTGGTGCAGCCAGGTGGATCCAGGACATCAGCGCTAACAGACGTAGACATGAGCGGCTGCTAAACCTTGACATGAGTAACGTAAACCGTCCGCAGGGACATTGGATCACGGTTAAACAGACGCTCAGCCCACATCTGGCGCTGGCTGTATGGGTGGTTTAGGCACTGTGTGTGGTCAATCTGAGACACAGGGGAGCAACACTTTGTCCTCCCTGTATAGCATAGAGTGGAGGGTTGCTGTAGCAACCTACAGTGACATTTATTTTCTAAAACCTGCCCAACTACATGTGTTTAAAGGTTTCTGATTTCCCACATTGACGTGCCCCCACCTGTCCAATCCGATCTGCCCATTAAAAGCCGTGTTATACACAAACCAAACAGCTTGGTGAAACAAGACCGTGTTCTTTTCTTTACTGACGAACAAACACTAAAATGTCCTCTCTCGGGAAGCGGTTAGGTCGCGGTGACGATAACCGGGACGGTGATCGTGTTCGGAGCCACCGGATTCTCGTTCTCCAGCTGATAGGTCGTGTCGGGGCGAGCAGGCGCTGCTTCCTGCGCGTCCGCCAATGCGATTGGCTCGCCCTTCACTTCCTGAGATTGTAGCTGGTCGAAGGTCCGCTCCGCTTCTTCCGACAGTCGGTTCTCCTCAGCCTCCTCCTCCTTCTGGAGGACACAGGAAGGAATACCGTTAGGATGGCTGAGACACAACAAATGAAGATAGCATTTCCTCAAAGTGCTCCGGCGTCACCTCTTTCTTTATCCTGTTGTATTCGTCAATGGCATACTGGTACTTTGCCGATGTTATTCCGAACAGGGACGCCATCCTCTCCCCAAGGTAGTCGCATGCTGTAATATAAAATAAATAAAAATTGACAAAACACAAGCCAATATCAATTTTGTCCTTACTGCTTTAACAATGTCAATGGCACTTATCTGCGGCATATTGTTACCGCAGGAAAGATTATGTTTTTGTACACTTTGTTTTAATAGAAAGCAGTCATGGCCCCATTGTTCTGTTATCAACTAACTAACTAACTATCATCAACATACAAGAAACTTGTGTGGGTCAAAGTTACTGGAGTAAACTAAAAGCATCGGAATAACAAAAACTGAAATTGAGAAAACATTTTTGTTAACTAAAATTTATAAAAACTATTCAACAGAGAAAAAAAATAGCCATCTACAATTATACCGTGTGTTTATATAACTGAGACACACTTAAACATTTTTGTGTTTATGAATCTACTTATTAGACTTCAGAAATGATCATCAACTACCGGCAAATTACAGCACGCCACACTCTTCCTAGCGACATTTACGCTCGTCTGCAAAATGGAGACAGCAAAAGTTGGGAGAAAATGCCAATCAGTTGGTTGTTCAGCAATAATTAAATACATTTGTTTGGAAATGGTATCTTCTGTTGAGTATCAGTGTATACCTAATCACAATACTTTGACCTTTTTTAATTCTGCACTTGAATATTACCCAAAGTATGAAAAAACTAAAACTAACAAGACAACTAAAAACTAAATGGTGAAATAAAAAACTAAATGATAAAATAACTAATAAAACTTAGCAAACACACACAAAAGACTAATTAAAAGTAACTGAATTAGACAAAAAAAATGCCACAACAAAATAAAACTTAACTATAATTAAAACACAAAACTATTAAACATCTGGTGTGATTATGGCACCAAAACTGACTTTTGCCCAATAGCCCATATCTTCCTAAACCCACCCCTGGCCTTGGTTATAAGCTGATTATATGTTCATATAAAAAACCGTCTACAATTAAGAAAGGAACATCTTTCTTCAATAGGAATGTGTGCTGGATAGTTGTATTACAGCCTCTACAAACCTGAGATGGTGGACGTGGCAGCTCTCCACATGTGGAACCAGAAGTAAGGCCCCCAGGTCATCTTGGACTGCAGGACAAACATAAAGTTACCCTCAACCTTCACACAAACAAAAGGTTACGACCCGACCCTCCACCGCTCCTCACCCTCACCGCATCGATAGGAGGGGACAGCAGGTCCTTCCGCTCCGCCTCCGGGTCCTCTGCCTCCTCTTCGTCGGTGCTGTACTCCTCCATGGTCTCCCCGCTGGAGAAGTGGATGATGCGGCGGGGAGCCTTCTCCTTCGGCTCCGTCCTCTGGCCCAGCTCTCCCAGCTCAACGCTCTCAAACTCCCTCCCCGGGTTCGGGCTCTGACCCTGGGAGGACATGACAAGCGCGTCTAGGCAAATTCAGCAGTAATATTTAATCAGATCCGTCCGACATGACACAGCTGCGGCTAAATGCTGACAAGCCCCAAACACCCGGAGACATTAGAAATCGGTAAACACACCGCGAGCGGCACACTGGTTAGGCTGGAAGAGAAGCAGCGATACTCTTACCTGCCCCGTGTCCATGCCCCGTCCTAAAGACACGTTGACATTGGCGAGATACAGAGAAACATCAGCCATTGTTGTCGTCTTCTTTGTATCTCTGCAAGCTGCGCCGACGCTGACGTCAAACCCGGAAGTACCGTACGTAACGCCCATACCGTTTCGTTAAGCACCTTTAGACAACACGCTTTCATCTTTTCTTATTTGAAACAATATTCAAATATAAACTATATAGTAAAATACACAAATAGTTTTGATATAGCTATATTATATTGTTTATATTGTTACACCCGAAACGTTGGTTGCGTCGCTGGGCACGACTTGAAATCATTACAGAATATTAAAGTCCTTTAAAAGTGTCCAGCTGTTCATCTGCACCCAAAGGTAAAGAATGAATCAACTTTACTTAGTGATATTTTATAGAAAGTCAAATTAAATGTCACAGCAAACACAGAGACTTGATTACTGCTACAGATATATTCAATAAATTAAAATACTGAAAGGACAATTTATTTCAGGAACTTTATCACTCAGTGAAACACATTATATACATTAAAAGTCTCAATTTCTGTTAATTCTGATGGTTGTCTGTTAATTCTGATGGGTTTTTTTACAGTTAAAAAAAACATGACATTTAAAATCAGAATATTATATCAAATGAATATAAAAAATACAGAAAAGTAGCCTCAATGAAAAGGAAGTTCCATACCTGTTTAAGGCTCCCAATTTTCAATATATTATTATATTCGTATTCCAATTTAATAATATCACTGCAATCTAAATTTATCTTGCGGCAAGTAGGCTAAGCAGTCTTAAAAAACAAACAAGAAGTGAAACAAATACATTGGCAAATGACCAAAATAAATAGATAGATAGATAGATAGATAGATAGATAGATAGATAGATAGATAGATAGATAGATAGATAGATAGATAGATAGCTGAGATGCAAAATAAGAAAAACCTTCTTGGAGATACAGTTTTCACAGTCCCTCAGCATGTTTGTGCTGTTTTTGTCTCTCCTTGCTATCTTGGTCTCTTCGCAGGATAGCAGAGAGCAGAAGCTGCTTTTTACATATTTGTGCCTGAAGCAGGTTGTGTCATGAAACCCTGCTGAGCACTAAAACATCCCAAGGCAACACGGTGAACCCCTGCGTTGCCCCCGATATGCTCATCAGCCTAAGATGAGCGCTGCATAAAGTTATAAAAATAAGAAACAGCTTGAACGTGTAAGAAGGGAGATTGTTTTCATTTATTTTTTTTTAAGATTTACCAGTAAACAGGTCAACATTTTTTACTGCAAAAAACCAGGAAAGCCCCTCATTAGAGGGTACAGCTGCATGGAGAAAGGGGCTTACATTTTATTTGCATGTTGTTTCGGTTTTTATTAGCGAAACAGTCGGGTGGGAAACTCCCCCAGGATTTAACTGATTCTCATTCCTGGCAGTTATCTGGGCAGCTAAAAGCGGAGGTTGAAGCTGCAGCTAGCCAACCTCAAAGTCCCTTACAGAGGTATTGCTTGAAATCTGTCTCAATTTGTCACATTCTAACTATAAACTTGCAAAAATATAAAGATGCAAATTATTGGGAATCTGTGTTTAAGACCAAGAAGCATTGTTTATATGTGAAGCTGAAAGAAAATGATGCACAAATCAATACTGTGTTGAACCAATTTTCTTCACAATTACAGTCTTTTAGAATATATCTCTGTATGCATCAGTAAACATCTGAAATTTTGTCCATTCTTCTTTGCAAAAAAACATGAAATTCAGTCGAACTGGACAGAACGCAGCTGTAAAATTCATTTCAACGTCCTATTGATTCTCAATGTTACTCAGGTCTGGACTTTGCGTTTTAGCAGATGAAAATGGTTTGATGTAAAACATCGCTACATTTTTTTCAAATGTGGCATGAACTAGAGGGCAACACATGGCAAAAAAACAACAATAAAAAAATCAATTGGCATTCAGAACAGTTTTTTTTATTGGTTATTTGCATATGAAGTCAAATTGAATGGGCACTGTCTACTGTAAGATAACTCTGAACACCAGGGGGCGCTGAAGATGCTTATAGAAAATACTAAACGGGCTACTGGAAAACGTTTGACCATCTCTTGCTCAAAATCAGAATCAGGATTCCTTCATTGCCGTCGTACAGAAGCCCAGAAGACAAACAACATAAAACACGGAAAGAGAGGTTGAAAGCGGATTCTTTAAAATGCAATTTAGAAAACCTTTATTGTTTTAGTGAAAACACAAAGAATTAGTTGTTTTGCAGTGGCATCTTGGCATTAGGACCATTTTGGACTGAGAGAAACTGGAAAAGCACAACGCATAGACTGGTCCGACATAGATGAAATATCGCACACTGGTCACAGATGCTTTAAGGCAGGGTTTGTGATTTGTGAAACTTATATTTTTCATGTTCTCACTTTAAATCTACAGTGAGGCTCAAGATGTATCACACCACTAAGAAACTTAGATTTCAAGTTGTCTGGAATCTGTCTGTCTATCTATCTATCTATCTATCTATCTATCTATCTATCTATCTATCTATCTATCTATCTATCTATCTATCTATCTATCTATCTATCTCATATAGGTGGTATGACTGACTTTCTGCTTGGGAATCAAAGTTAACCAATACATTTTCTGACCACTAGATGTCAGTATAGCGCCACCCAACTCTGATCTTTCCCTGAGACAGCTGTGCCACTGAGTGGGTAGTGAATTATTTGGACCTGGATGGCTATTTATACAAATCACTGACGGGAACCTGAATATCCGCACGTTGAATAATCACTCACTCTGTTTAGATACTCTCACCCTGGAGGGCTACAAAGCAACTTCAACAGGAAGGATTTACTGGAGGCCACAAACCGCAGGACTAAATCTCAGAGCTATGATGTCATGTTAAAGCTGCAGCCTCTTAGCATAAAAAAAAAAAAAAAATGGGGGAGAGACATCCATGCTTGTCTCATTTTTTTGTGTCTCTGTGCAAATGTTTGCTGCGTTAGGAATACAGGTTTGTTGTGTTTGGGCTCTGCCAGAATACACTTCCCAGGATCTAGAAAAATCTCTGGATTCTCTCACACAGAAGTTTTTCTCTTACTATTCTGCCAAGACTAACAGCTTCACCTGCTCTCCCTTGGTTTGTTTAGATGGGACCATTGGATTTTATATTTTTTTTATTGGCTCACTGTTGTGTCACATTAGCCTCTGACAATAGCATTTTCGCAGACTGTTTATAATCGGCGACGCGACTGCTCAGGTCAGCTGCTCATTGAGCAAAACATTATTAATCTTGGACTGTCGAAAATTATGGATTTCTTCACAGGTTGGAATCACAACAGCAGGGAGGCATCTGATGTGTTTTTAAAATTAGGATGTTGCTTGACAGGTATTCAGGTAACTGATATATTTCCTTCGGATTTCCTGTGATAAATCAACAAAAATAGTATTAAAATGAATAAATTCACATTTAGATATTGAAAAAAAATCTACAAGTGTACTTAAGTCACATCACTAAATTTATGCATTTCATATGTGAAAGGTTTTCCTTCACGGTGGCCCAGAAGGGTCAACAAAATGCTGACATGCTAGAAACCAGTGTCCTGTTCTGCGCTTTGCTTTGCTAAGAGCCGCTGGACCCTGAGCTACTGAGAAACGATTGCTTGCTGGAGATGTGGACTTCGTTGAAGCTTTAAATGATTACATCTGATTTTTACCCAATCGCTAATTTAGCTGTGACGTATGAAATGCGCCAGCTCGACCATGAAGGAAACTACGCAATGAAACTTACCGGAAATTGTGCGCTTAGTAAACAACCATCCAACTCTTTGAAAAGAGAAGTGCAGAAACAAACAAGATCTTTGCCAGGAATAAAATATCTTAAATATTACTCATGGCCCAACTTTATTTTCTCAGCATCTGGAAATGTGGCCCACGCAGACTGAATGGCGTCGTTCACTTCCTCTGCTGCAACCAAAGTCAAGCTACAATTCAAAAACAGCACAGAAAATTTATGTCATCATTCACAACTCCTCATTCTCTTCGCTGATTGGCCCAGTTGAAATTCTACCATAGAAATTGAACTCAGTGGGAGAAATCCCAGATGCATCACTGACGTGAAATGAGAATCGAATGGAATTTTGTGGTCAGATAATGGTCAGGCTACCAAAATGCAAAAGTCGCAACCCAACAACAAAGGCCACAATGCCTTTCTATGCTAAAACAAATGTTGACATAATTTAGCATAACTTTAGTTTTTGCATAAATTTTGTTTTGTTATGGTTTTTGATATCTTTTGGACACTTCTGGGCCACCATACCCCTTAGTACCAACACCTAATGTTGCTCAAGGTAATGAACTGATGGAATAAAAAAGGAAACCTTAAGCTGAGAACACAGCAGCAGCTTTTACAATGTCCACATAGTTTTAGTTTTCAGCACACACAACTCGTAGGAAAGTACAAACCAGACTTTTTCACAGGTTGGTATATTATCTTGTGACCTGAGCCTGTTGTAAACTTCTCTTTTTACCTTTTTCTTTGATGTGTCTGCAGCATTTTATGTTTTTTCACCAATGTTCCCTCAAAAAGAAACAACCTATGAAGTCTTCACAGAACAACATGTATACTAAAACAGGATTATGCAGTAGTGGACTGCATTGGTTTATTTGTTTGTTTCTTTTTTACATGTCATTGTGAAGAGAACTTAGTTTTCCAAATCATGCTACAACCAGGGTTATGGTTGTAACATGGCAAAATAGGGAAAATTTAAACATACACTTGCAGAATACCGTATATCATTATACATCATTTCTGAAAAACATTGGGTCATAAATTAGATAATGTCTTATGTTCAAATAAGGACATTTGTTTGGGGTTCAGAGCATTTATTAAATTAGATTTTAACATGAATCAGCGCACAATCAGCTGTCAAATTGACTGCATGGGGAACTGTTTATTTTCTACTTTATCTTTCAATAAAGTCTTGCTGGTGAAACTTCCAGAATTGAAGAAAAAGAAAACTGAGAAAATCAGTTCCGGTTTGGTGGCTTTCAAACTGCACTTACTCAAAAAATGAAACATCGTGAGCCAGTTTTTCAGCTTTTGAGTTCGTCAGCTTGTGACGACTCTGTCAGTATTACGATACGTTCCCTCTCGGTGATG